AACCTCTGGTATTTGAGTGATTTTTCAAGATCTACTTTTTAAGATTTTGAGCTTGGTCAGCTTTATAAAGTTGCATGGGATTTGATTTCCCAAAGAATATTATTTGTGTTTGCTCTTCTGAAAACAATAACCGATTTAATTACTTTGTTTGCTGCTAAACATATTTTCGAGTAGTCAATAACATATTTTCGAGTAGTCAATAACAACCAATATTTGGTTTAAGGAACAAAGGGCCGAAATGCGATTTTCAGATTTAGGCCATTGTTTTTGCCAATAAAACAGCTATCAAAATGATTATCAGATTGTTTTTGTATGTTATGGTGCATGTTGAAAAGGCAGAACGCTGCATCTGTTTTGAAGCTTAGATCATCCTCTGGTCTATGCGAATAATCTGAATTGTTGCTTCAGCAGTCTGAAGCATTAACCACAATGCAAAAGAAATTTTCTTCTGCATAATATAGCTTCCATATTTTTGAACTCCTGCTGATTAAATGTGGCTTCATTGATATATCACTTCTAGCGATCTATGCTTTCTTTCCATTAGCATTTTTAATGGACTATCCTCTCTTCAGGATGAAGATGATAGTGATGAAGATAAGTCTGATGAGGAGACACCAAAGAAGGTAGCTCGTAGTTATTGGTCTTTTCTTTTTTCCTGAATTTCTTGAGCAGGAAGGTGGGTTAACAGTACCTGGGTCAATCTTCTTTTTTAGGCTGAGCCTAGCAAAAAGCGACCTGCAGATTCAGCAACAAAAACTTCTGCACTCGATAAAAAGGCAAAATTTGCAACACCTCAAAAGGCTGGTTAGTTTTTGTCTTTGGTTAATGCTTACCTTAATGTCAATCTTTGATATGGATTGGCTATTGTTGGACTGTCTGCTGCTGTCCTTTTGACTTGCATGAGAAAATTGGACCAGAAACTGGAATAACATTTGATTCCGTCAGAATGAGAATATGATTCTAACGTTAAAAAAAAGATATTAGTAAATGTGCAAGTGGCTTATATTTTGCATCTTTACTCAAGTTAATATGGGATTAAGTTACCTTGTTCATGAATATTTTCTTTTGGGCGGTTTAGATGGTAAGAAAGGTGCTGTCCATGTGGCAACGCCTCACCCCTCAAAACAGGCTGGTAAGACTCCTGGAAACAAGTCAAACCAGACTCCAAAATCTGGCGGATCTCTTGCCTGCAAGACATGCAACAGGTAACTTCAATGCTGTTTTATTTATTTTAGGAGCATTAGGTTATCTGGATTCATATATTTCTCCTTGCAGGACTTTTGGTTCTGAAACTGCTCTGGAGTCTCACTCAAAAGCTAAGCACAGTGCCGGGAAGTAAATTGGCGCTGAATCGTTTGCCTGGAGATGTTAGTTTTGTTTTATCAACGTTGGAGGGAATGATAATCAGAAGAGTGTGTTAGTATTTAGTATATCTTTTATGATTTACCCTATGTAAAGCAAGAGTTAGGTCCAATTTTGCTGCATACTGGTACTAGTGAAGGTTTATTTTGATGTTGAATCTTATGTTGGTTGAGATTCAATTCAAATTAATGGTCGTTACCTATTGGTATTTTGTTATGTGCTTACATTTTTGCTGCTTGACAAGTTGCCGCATCTGCAGAGCATTTGATTATCTGTTTCTTTATTTTATATTTCCAGATCCCATATTCTCTTTAAGGATGCGGTTTCTGTCTGACCATGTTCTTGGGGAATAAAAGTGCTTATTTATATGTAAAAAAAAAGGGCTTATTTTGGAGAGTTGTCTGTGGCCAATTTTTTTAGCAAAAAATGATTGAGTTGTAGACTTAATTTTTTTTGGGGCTGTGCGGAGAAAGCAAAATTGGAGTTGTTCTTGGAAACAAATTTTATTTGGACAAAAAGTACTCTAATAAGTTGATCAACAATATTTATATTGATCGGAAATGTTATAATATATTTATGAATTTATAATACTCCACAATGGAAAGCTTAAGTTAGATATGTGATTTTTTTTTGGAACAAACTGAAATAGAAAACAATGTCGTATAAAATGGAAAGCAGCAAGTATGAAATTCGTGAACTCACCTGCATTTTCCTTCATTTTATTTAGTACTCAATGTGGCCTAAAGGGAAAAAGAAAACGAACAGCAGTAGGCCAGTAACGTGCACCAAACCAAGTGCAAACAATATTTCAGAGAATAAGGTAAAACACCAATAAGGCAATAAACCAACCCCAAAAATAAGAAATGAAAAGCGAGTTATTGAAACAGTTTAGTTCGAAGTTTTGTCTCTCTCTCTCTCTCTTTTTAACAAAAACTTTTTGGATGGACAACGCTTTAAAGTTCTATTACTTTCACACAAACAAAGAACGTAATAAGATTACTCAACAAGTCAATGTCAAAATTGGTACTTGTAGTTATATGAACATCAAAAAGAGTAGTTATCAGTGTTAGTAAGACAAAATTTTAAACGAAGTAAACACATACACACAGGAAGATTCCAAATAAATAAATAAAAGATTAACTGAATTAATATTTTCAGCATGTTAATTATTGTAATAAATAACTTAATCAATAACACAAAGCACAAGAGCTGGTTTGCCCGAGAGGTTAAGGGGGAAGACTTAAGATCTTCTGCACATAAGTGCGCATGGGTTCGAACCCCATAGCCAGCATGATTTTCTTCTTTTTCTTTCTTCAATTTTTTTTTATATTCTTTCTTTTGTCTAACACTTTACGCAATTCTCCAAAAAATAAAAATAAATAAATAAATTATTTTTACTCCTTTTCTAATATTTAAACTCACGGTTCATAGTTTAGCTTTTTTCATATTTCTCTTTTTATTATTCTCAGATATATTCAAGATTGTGTCCAACACTTCAAACTAGGATTTCACTTTCATATAAGCTGTAAAATTTCAGAGAGCAAAAACAATTTTTATTTTCAAAAAAATAAATTAATAGAAAAATCTCCTTTAAAACTTGAATTACGTATTTTGCTAGTTATAACCAGGGCTTGAAGTGTGAAATGAACTTCAAAGATATTGAAAGGAATTAATAATTTGATGATAATAAAATTTCTTACTATAGCTTTATACTAAGGGTGATTAGCAAGGCTGGCTCAAGCCGAATGTCACTAAAACATTTGTTTAAGTCACGAAAGTTGAAGGCATCAAGCGGACCAAACTAATTTTCACTTTAAGATAGATTTGAACTATTTAAATGTAAGAAAGCATTAATATTCTGGTTGGTGATAAAAAATTGAGATTATTAGACATGAGAGTTAAAAAAAAATGTATGAAGCTATGTTTTTGCTTCAAAATAAATTTGAACTATTCAAAATATAGTGAATTATTTTTGACATTTAGTGGTAAGAAGATTGACATTACTAGGAGATGAGAATTTCAAAAAAATTAAACATTGCGTTAAGCTTGAATATTTCTTAAAGTATTGAATGTGTCTTTGTGAATGGTAGAGATGCGAGTAAAATGTCTAAACTACTACCATCATTAACAAATTCAGACGAAACAAACATAATAAATTTAAATCATTTATTAAAGTTTGGTTTTAAGTTATTACTATAACTTTCAAGTTGGCCTTGGTGAACAATGTGCTACTACACTAAATCAATGTAGAATAATATGAAACATATAGACTATTATACAACATGCAGCTTTTATCAATTGCAAAATTTGATGAACAAATATAAATCAACAAATTTTTCTAAGAGAGTATGGGTCCGAAATATTCAATAGACAATAAAGACAATAAATGGTTAGCATTTGCTGAGCGCTTGTGCATCAATTCAAAAATCTTTAAGACAATGATAGAACCCTGGAAGATGCATTCAAGACTTTGACATATATATATATATATATATATATATATATATATATATATATATATATATATATATATATATAT